TATATATATATATATATATATATATATATATACACGACGGAAAGACAGCGGACAGGGGGAGTACGTTAGCTAGCAGCAACGCAGAAGCTAATGGCCTTGCGCCCGTCCTTTTAGAAAGAGTGGCTACTTGGCAGGATGAGGTTCTTAATGTATAATACACCGGTTCCTTTCAAATTTGAAACACTTGGTTGAGTTCGGAGTTCGGCAATCTATTCATCATCTGGCAAGGTAAAGAACCAGATTCAATATGCGTAGCATTTAAATTTTTTGCCTCTTTTTGGGCAGGATTTGTGTCGGTACGAAAACCTGTGCTCACGCCCGAACTGTTGATGAACGCTGTTGGGGCTGCAGAGCGTACTCGGCGCTGTGTTGGTCCCTAGTGACGTGTTGTGAGTCAGGACTGGACGTAACAAAGCGCCGCACCATCCCTAGATACCCCTCTCCACCAGTTGCAGTGTCTTTATCCCCTATACTTCGGTCTTCAGAACAACATAGCACAGCAGGGCCCGTGCAGCTACGTGGGGGAAGGTTTGACAGATGAGACTCGAAAGCCTATACCTTCTTGAAGTTGGTTAGCTGTTAGGCCCCCTAGCGCGTACCAATTCTATAGTACAGCTTGCAACAAGAGGTGATTGGTAGTTGTTGCATGCGGGGACACTAGCATTAGTGTGATGCAGTGCAGCTTATGAGATACCGCTTCCGTTCCGCATCAACAGCTGTGATGGTGTACAAGACGCCGGGGGACTGGCAAGGGGACATCAGCTACCTCTTGTGAACCACTATCCTAAGCCGTTGGTATTACTGTTTCTAACGACGGCTCTCCACTAAACTCCGGAAACCATTCGACGGATACACCAGAAGGTAGTGGAATGGTGTGCCCACGATCCTCGGCATTGTCCAGAGACCACTGAGGGCTGTCGTGGAATACAGGAGTATGTGAACCGTAAAAAACATTCACCTCGCCTTCTAACCTACAGGCATTATGGGAGTAGAAGGCTAGGCGCTCGGAGCTGCGGGAGAGATGGCGGCCTGTCCTGAGTGGCTTGCTGCTGCCCTTGCAGCAAAGCAACCTCACACACAAAGATAACGAGCTATTATTCGCTGCAATCGTTTGCAATATATAGAGCTGCTACGAGCGTCAGCTTGAGTGCAGGCTTCCTTCTTGCGTGTAGGTTGCCTACTAAGGCCGAGCCAGTGTTCACTTGCCGACTGCGCAAGGATTATGCTGCTCGTGGTGGGCAGCAAACCCTAGGGGTTCGGATTGCCGTTGGCGTTCTCTTACCAGCCTAGACTGTATGGTACTATTTGCTTCAATGTGGACCTATGGTTCAAACGATCAAGGAAATACACAGAAGTTCCTCCTGCGACTTGGAGGAATTACCGTCTACCTGGGGGAAACCGGCGGTGTTGTTGTATTTTCACATATTGTACCATTCCCCGGTATTGTAATAGCATAATATATTGCTAATTGTGTTTTACCATATGTGATAATTATATAATGGTCATGAGCTCCCCTCATCACGCGGTTGGTAGCCTTCGCTGATGGTGGTCTCTACAACCCTGCAACTAAACGCAATTGCATGCAGTGCCAAATGTGGCGAAGTTTTGCACTAGATTAGCTTGTGACATATTGCTTTTATTCTACACCCGTAATAAATGCTCACTGAAATCCACAAATAGTTTTCTAGTAAGCTCGGATCTTGCAACGTTAAAGAATATTGACTCCTCTCTCCCGTGGTTTTGACCTTCATCCAGCCCCAACCACAACCACCAGTGTCTTGGCCCTGCCAAATTAGGCTTGCTTTTGTACTGAAGAATTACGCTTGCGCGTACGCAGGCTTCTCATTTAACTACTGTTATTCGATGAGCCAACCATATCCGGACCCACCGCATTTCCACGCACCGCATCTGCCATGTATCTCTAGCTGTCTGTATGCGAGCTGAACGTCTTTACTGAGATCACATAAAGCTCATGAGCAAGTGTCTTCTGACCGGGTTGAACGCATTGCATTGTTTTGGTACACATATAGTAAATATCGTAGCATATTCGTTTATGGAGGCCGTTCTCACTGGGGATAAGGCATAACGCCGAAGTCCCGCCAACTTAACCCCCCCGTCGGTTTTTAACCAAGTTCTCTTCTCAGATGCAAGCAGATGTCTGAGTTCTTTCTTGGTCTGCATTCGCCCAAACAATAGTCCCTCCCATACCCTCATTAAGTACCCTGTTAGTGGAATTGTGATGATTCGTGGGCAGCAGGACAAACGTGGCGATGGGGCTGAGGGCTTTTCACACTCTCCCTCAACTTCAAAGCGCCGCACAGGCCGCGATGCGGCGGCTTGGAACGATCCAGAGCTCTTCGGAGCGGAGGAAGAAGAGGAAAATAGACACGATCGAGACCGCGTAAACCGTCACAGAGGGAAACCGGACAAAATACCTACGACTGCTGAGAAGGCGAGGATTCCGGGTAAGTACAACGTTAAGCATAATATTCAACATGTATACTCAAGAGCAATGCGAAGTTAGCTGGCATGCCACTCTCTCTAGCTCCACACGCCGCTGATGTTTTCACGCGTGAAATTGTACCCAACGCAACTCGTGAATCCAAAGATAGTATTATTTTCTGAGATTGAAGGTGTTTGTGTTCCATCAGATCCACTGATGGCATTCTATTAGTTCAGTGGTCTTAGGTTGCTGTAGTCTTTCTTGTTTGATCGTGTTTTCTACGACTCAGCAGCTACTTGGCTTGCTGCTTGTGTAGGTACCTTGTCTGCCTCTGAAGAGTCAGACCAAGAGGCGAAAGAAACTCTTGCCGATGCAGCAACAGCAGCAGGAGCAGGGGCCGGTGGTCACAGCCAGAGGCGGACCCGCCAGCCCCCGCTGAGCGCTGCATGCTTCCTGCAGTCGCCTGAGGGGGCCCCTGCAGATGGCCTTTTGTCCTTGTACTGCAATTTGAACTACGCGCGAGACAAACTGCACAGGTTCAAGTTCTTTGACAGAAATACAGCGCGCGAGGCGAGGAAACAGGAGTACAGGGAGGAATTGAAGGCAGCGCAGGCGCTGCTGGCTATGAACGCGCGCCAACTGCACCAGCAGCCCAGGCAAACAGAAGAGCTGTTGCAAGCAGAGATAACCGTGCGGACGCGCAAGCGGCAGTTGGCTCGTCTTGCAGGAGAGGAGCGTCTGGAGCTGCGAGAGGACTTGAACACTTTACTGAGGGAAATAAGAGAAGGCATTATTGCATTCTACCCCTACAATGAACACATTTCCCGATTAGCTCGACGACTTGATAAGATCAGCGCACAGCCGGAAATGTGGGCTCAGTACAGACCCCGCCTCGTGCAGCTGCACCTCACAAGTTTTCTTAACAAATGGATGGACAGCGGCTGTCCCCCGGATCCGTATGCACTGTTGCAGAAGCAGATGTGTGGCGACACAGCAGAAGTAGCAGCAGCAGCGGATGCAGAGACCGGGGGTCCCTCGTCGTACATGGAGGAGGATTTTAGAGGGACCCCCGATGTACATATGGAAGAAGAATATCCATTTCCAGATGAATCATTTGCTCGAGCAAAACCCACAGCGTCTACAAATGCATCAGTCCCAGCACATCTCGACACAGGGAAGGCTGCATCAGGTGAGGCCTCTGGTCAACCAGCAGCAGAAACCTCCGCTGCAAAGGTTGCTGAAGGAGGCCCCCCTTGTGAGATTTTTCTCACCATATATATATATATATATATTATATATA